GCACCTTGTTGTCTCGGATTCTCCAGCATCTGCAGTTCCTACTATCTATAAAGATACAATTTCTGGATGCACACCATCCCAAAAAATACTTGTTACAAGGCAAAAACTTTCACCTATTTCCAAGTGCTTTTATCGTATACAGGAACACACTTACCGATCTGTCTGCAGCACATTAACAAGGTGTTCCATGGCCTGACTGCCCACTTCAAGACGATATTTCTAAACAAAATAAAAAGCATTTTTGAGGTCTGAGAAAAACACTCGTCATATCCTCCTCCAGATGGTCAGGTACTGGCTTGGAGAATTTTGTCAAAAATAACTAAAGGGAACAATGAGACCAGATATTCCTTGGAAAGCAATAAAATAAACAGGATTGAGGGCACTAAGATACTGAGCTAAATATCATCAGAAGCAGCAGCACTTTGACAAAGCTACAAAATAAAAAGCACTGTAGATCATTTACAAAGGAACAGAATGCAAAGCATGTTGCACTTATGAAGAACCTTGGTAGACCATATTTCAGTACTGTGCGTCATCTCAGTTCTTACACGACAACAGCATGTAAAAATTTTTGGAGAAAATGTACAAAATATTTACAAGGGTGACACAAAAATGAGGAAGTATAACTATCAAATAACATTGATCAGACTGGGGCTCTTTCCTCTAGAAAAGCAGCAGAGCAGTGACCTGTGAGAGGTCTTTAAAATTATGAGGGGTTTGATAGTTGGCATAGAGAATTGTGGGGAGCCTAAAACTACAGGTTGTACATAGAAGTTACTAATAACTCCTCCCACTTCAGCTGTGACAACACAACTGACTAACATCAGTATTCTCCCACATTTTTATGGGAACATGACCTAAATGAAGCAGATGCTAGTCTTATAGGGAATTCAGCAGAAATTTCTTTACCAAGAGTGATAAAAATGTGGAACTTGCTTCCACGTGGATTAGTTTGGTGAACCTCCAAGATTGATCCTCATTTCCCCATTCTCCTGCCAAGAGTACTTTGAAAACATTATTATGCCAGTTTTATTCAAAATTGGATAAAAATCAATAGGCGAATGAGGTATATTCATTCAAACGGTAAACAGCACAACCAACTCCTAATGGAAGCTAGCAGTTAACCACATGGTTATCAAGGATATATTTTCAAACAAACTAGACTGGAAATCGAACAAATGCAGAATTAAGGACACACCTTGGATAATGCTTTGAGTGCACGAACTGCATCTCTGCGATCCTCCAGTAGTGTTGAAGAGGCAACTCGGTCACATAGCTTCTGAACCTGTTCCAGAAAATGAAAAGGATAAAAATTAAAATTAAAAAACATTTTAGTTTAACTGTCCAAAACATGTGCGAATTGATGGCCCGAACTAGAATCAAATTGAGATTAATCTTCAATTTCTTCATCTTGACTGGTTATAGCATGAGGCAGTCATTTGGCTTATGTCATCTGTGCTGAAGCAATTCACCAAGTGCCATCCTCTCCTTTTCCCAATGACTTGGAATGCTGCCCTGGCAGATAATGATCCAATTCTCAAACCTCCTTTCAACTGGTCTCCATTGCATTCTCAAGAACTCCATTCCAGATACTAAGCCACTCATGAAGAAAAAAAAGCTTTTCCTCATATTGCTTTTGCTGCTTTTACAAATTATTTTAACATCTGTGTTCTCTCAGTTCTTGATCTTTCCGCCAATAGGAAATTTTTGCCCATGTCCAGGCATCCCAAGATTTTCGTGTATCAAGTAATCCCATCTCCGCTTTCTTCACTCCCCCACCAGCAGAGAACAGCTCTAACTTTACCAATCTGCGAATGAAAATCCTTGCTCTTAGAACAACTCTTGTGAAGCTTTTCTGCACTCTCCCTTCCCATCCTTCTTTAAGTCCAGTGCCCAGAATGAGCCACAACATTCCAGAGGAGGCTGAAAAGGGTCAGCCGGGATCACGTCCTTGAATGTTAAAGTAGGGCTTGAACTGGCTCAGACTAACAGTACTTTTAATTAACCAAAGCTGACAGTTGCTGAAAATAAGACTTACAATCAGACTACAAAGAAACAAACTATTTGGTCCTTTATGTCCATGTCATTTTATTTTTGTTATGTATGGCTTACGTGGTTCTATGTATGAAATTAATCTCTGAACATTCTTGGAAATTTCTTACTTTTAAAAATTGAAAGCTCAGAATGCTAGCAACATCAATATTAATGTATCTAATTTGTATAACTGGAATACTCAGCAATTTTACTTGAAGGCAAGTATGTTTGCCACAATTTCTGTTTCTTCAAAACCTTTTAAATTCCTGATTTTTAGAATTCTAGATATTCGAGATCTGGCAATACACTGAGGCAGGACAATTTAGTCATCTCGCAGTAGAAGGAGCTCCCAAGTAGCAGCAGTCATTACATGGCCAAATTTCACATTCAATTTGAAGGAGAGGGGTGGGACTAAGAGGAATGGTTCAGACTTAAATAAAAAGGAAACTAAGGAAATTAAACTCGTTTCAACTAGAAAGGAAAAATGTACAACTCCGCAAAGATCAATGGCAGATCAGAAATTTGCACAAATAGAAAAATTTGAGTGAGAAATTGGGAGCATGAGTAAGTGATCTGCAAACAAAAACATATAGCAACAGTTTCCACAGGTATTTAAGAAAAGATTAATTTACCATTGGTCCTCATGTGTCTGGAGAACTATTAGTGAAAAATAAGGTAAGGATAGATGAATTGAAGAGATTTTGCATATATTTTTTAACTATAGAGGATACCAATACCATCCCTGAAGTAATTAAAAATCAGCAGGTAAAAAGGAAGGAGGATCTGAAAACAATTACATCCATCAGGGGAAAGGTATGAAAAAAATCATTAAAATGAAAAGCTGACAAATCCCCAGGTTCTGATGAACTTCAAGCTCTGCTTTTTTTAAAAAAAAAGTGTTTTTCCAAAATTCCATAGATTCTGGAAAAGTCCCAACAGATTGAAAAATAGCTCATGTAACTGCTCTATTCATGGAAGGTGGGAGATAGAAATCAGAAAAACAACTTTAGGCTAGTGAATAGAATATTTGTCATCAGGAATCTAATATTAACATGACACACAGAAGACAGGAAGAGGAGGCCATTCAGCCCTTCGAGCCTGCTCCGCCATTATGATCATGACTGATCGTCCAACTCAATAGCCTAATCCTGCTTTCTCCCCATAACCTTTGATCCCATTCACCCCAAGTGCTCTATCTAGCCATCTCTTGAATACATTCAATGTTTTGGCATCAACTACTTCCTGTGATAATGAATTCCACAGGCTCACCACTCTTTGGGTGAAGAAATGTCTCCTCATCTCCGTCCTAAATGGTCTAACCCAAATCATCACAGTGCGACCCCTAGTTCTGGACACACCCACCATCAGGAACATCCTCCCTGCATCTACCCTGTCTAGTCCTGTTAGAATTTTAAAAGTCTGAGAACCCCCCTCATTTGTCTGAGCTCTAGCAAATACAATTCTAACCTGGTCAATCTCTCCTCACACATCAGACCCGCCATCCCCAGAATCAGCCTGGTAAACCTTCACTGCACTCCCTCAAGAGGAACAGCATCCTTCCTCAGAAAAGGAGGGTAAAACTGCACACAATGTTTTAGGTGTGGCCTCACCAAGGCCCTGTACAACTGCAACAACACATCCTTGCTCCTGTACTCGAAACCTCTCGCAATGAAGGCCAACATACCATTTGCCTTCTTTACCACCTGCTGCACCTGCGTGCTTACCTTCAGTGACTGACACACAAGGACTCCCAGGTCCCACTGCACACTCTCCTCTCCCAATTTACAGCCATTCAGGTAGTAATCTGCCTTCTTGTTTTTGCTTCCAAAGTGAATAATCTCACATTTATCCAAATTATACTGCACCTGCCATTGATTTGCCCACTCACCCAACTTGTCCAGATCATCCTGAAGGATCTCTGCATCCTCATCACACGCCACCTACCCACCCACCCAACTTGGTTATCATCTGCAAACTTGGAGATGTTACATTTTGTTCCCTCATCCAAATCATTAATATATATTGTGAACAGCTGGGGTCCCAGCACCGATCCCTGTGGCACCCCCACTAGTTACTGCCTGCCAATTTGAAAAGGACCCATTAATTCCTCATCTTTGTTTCCCCTCTGCCAACCAGTTTTCTATCCATCTCAATACACTTCCCTCTATCCCATGCACTTTAATCTTGCACAAATAATCTCTTATGCGGGACTCTAAAACTATTCCAAATACACCCCATCAGCTGGCCCCCCCTTGTTAACTGTACTAGTTACATCTTCATAGAATTTTAACAGATTTGTCAAGCATGACTTCCCCTTCATAAATCCATGCTGACTCTGTCTGATCCCATCACTGCTTTCTCAATGCTCTACAATAAAGTCTGCTACAAGGCTTTATAGGTGGGCATTTAGAAAATCTCAATGCAATCAGGCATGGTTTTATAGGAAGGAAATGGTGTTTGATTAATTTGAAGAGTTTTTTGAAAAAGTAACAAGCAATATGGATAAAGGGAACCCACTGATGTTACGTACTTGAAGATTTTCAGCATGCATTTTACAGTGCCACAAAAATATTGCTTGAAATAAGAGCTTGTAGTGTGGGCAAGCAACTGATTAGAATGCATAGAGGATTGGTTAGCTAAAGAAAACTGAGTCGGTATAAATGGGTGCCTATTAAGTTATCAAGCTGTTGGAGACCTCTATCAGAAATAAAAAAATTAATTTAATTCAATTTATAAATTTGGGCAGCATGCTGGCTCAGTGATTAGCAATGCTGACTCAAAGCAACAGGGATCGAGGTTCAATCCTAGCTTTGGTCACTTTAAGTTGAGTTTGCACATTCTCCTTTCATCCATGCGCGTTTCTGCTGGGTGCTCCAGTTTCCTCCCACAGTCTGAAGAGGTGCAGATTAGGGTGGGTTGACTATGCTAAATTGCCCACAGTATCTAGGGAGCTGTAGGCTAGATGGGTTAGCCATGGAAAATGCAGGATTATGAGGATATCATGGTGGGCTGGGCCTAGGTGGGATTTTCTTCAGATGGTTAGTGCAGACTTGTTGGGCTCAATGACCTCTTTCTGCAGTGCAGGGATCTATAAGACAAGAGCTAGCCAATGCAAATCAACATATTTGTGAAGCAGATTGTACCTGATTAACAGAAACAGAAGTTGCTGGAAAAGCTCAGCAGCATCTGAGAAGAGAAATCAGTTAACGTTTTGGGTCCGGTGACCCTTCCTCAGTTCTCTGACTTTTGTTTCTGATTTACAGCATCCGCAATTCTTTTGGTTTGTTATTTTGTACCTGATTAACTTCAATGAATTTTTTTGGAAGGTATTCAACAAAGTATGATACAGGAAACTTGATATGAATAGAAGACCATGGAATTACGAGGAAATGGTAGAATAGGTAGAGAACTAGTTGAATGACAGCAAGCAGAGAATGGCAATGAATGGAATTTTTCAGATTGTGGAGGTAATTTACATTGACATATGCAAGGAATCAATTTTAAATCCTTTTGTTTGCAAGTGACAGACTCAGGTGTAAGGGCCAGCATTCAAAAGCAGATAACATAATAACTTGACAAAGTAGCAGATCAGGATGAGGATATTTGGAGATTTGGGTGTGTCATATACAACATGAAAAAGATTTGCATTTATATAGCACTTCTAACAACCACTGGATGTCTCAAAGTGTTTTGCAGCCAATGAAGTATTTTTTGAAATGTCACCGTTGTAGGAGACACAGCAACAAATTTGTACTCAGCAGACTCGTATAAACAGCAATAGGTTATGTCCAAATGATTTCTTTTTTGCAAGGTTGAGAGAAAGATAAATTTTGGCCAGGAGATAAATCCTGTCCTCTTCTTGGAAATAATATCATGGGATCTTTTATATCCTCTAGACAGGAAGATGGGGCCTCCATTTAAGATCTCATCTGAGGCAGCACCTCTCAGTACTGCACTAGAAGCCAATCTGGATTTCAACCCCTAAAGTAGGACTTAAACCCAGAACTTTATGATTCAGAGGCAAGTTATTAACGGATGGCTGGTACACAACGGACGACGAACATCAAGGTAGAATTTAATGCAGAGGAGTAAAGAGTGCAGTCTGTGAAGGTACAATACTGAAACCTCGTGGCTTGCCATAAATATCATAATTTTGACAAGGACTAAGCAGAAAGACCTTGGTGTCAAAAATACAGAAATCTTCAAAGGTGGTTAACATGATCTAATCTAATAGATGATTGAACATAAAGC